GCTTCTATTTAATTTTTCCATTTGTTATTGGCTGTTGGCTTTTTTTACTGGCCCTCGGTTTTTAAAAAATTTTTTTTTTTTTTTTTCGCCCCCCCCCCCCCCCCCCTTTTGAGCCATGGTACACCTGCAGAACGTCCCCAGTATCTTTTCCAAGCATGTCAGATTTCCAGGATCGCGACGGTTGCAGCTACGACAGTATTCGCGCAACATAAACGCCCGTACCGACCTCTTGAAGCGCATTTATGCACCCTTCTCAAAGTTGCAAAGTTGGAAAAGAATAGCCTTGAATACACCGCGCCGGCACGATCTGGTCGTGTCTAGGGAAACTAGTTTCGACCATACGATGTCACTGCGGACATCGTTTTCCAGGAGCAAAACCTTTTTTTTTTGACTGAGATCGACAAGTTCAAGAAAGCAATTCGTACGCCGCTACCCGACGTTGTCAAGAGATTGACAACCGAGGTCGCTCAACAAAGTGTTTCGATTGAGGGGAACCGGATCTGAATGCCTCAGCAGTGATCTATGAATATCTCGTAGACGGGGAATTTATTTCCAAGCTTGAAGATATGTCCAATGGTACCGAGTTTCCGTTTCCCGATCCAAGAAGCATATTGCCGCAAGCTCCTACCGATGCCGTTATCGAACTCAGAAATCACCTCGTCGTTTCGCACTTGATTGCTCATCGGGCGGAATATAATACAGTTGGACTCACGGAGGAGGATGTCAAACGTTATCACCGTCTGCTTCTGAAAGATACACCAAATGATCGACTCACGGGCTTTGGCAAACCTTTGCGTTCTGGAGAATATAAAACGTTACCAATCCAAGCTCGGGGTTTTCCCAACACCGTGTATCCCTACCCAGATGAAGTCCCGGCGTTGGTTTCTCGATTTTTCCCATGGCGAGATTAGGTTTATGCTGAAAAACAACTTCATCCTGTCATCACCGCTTGCAAGCTTCTTATCGTCTTCCTTCACATACATCCGTTTCATGACAAGAACGGCCGCATGCGAAGGACTCTAATGGCAGACTTTCTCATTCGTCAAGGTTATCCACCGGTCATCTTCCAGCAACTCAGTAGGGATGAATACATGAAAGCAATCGCTGCAGCTCAGCGGAAAGAAGTGGATCACCTTTATGGGATGGTGTTAGAGACTTTTCATGGCATGATGATGATGTTTTATATGGACGAACGTTGATCAAGGGGAGGAGTGGGTTCGGAGAAGGGGAAAGGGCAGACGCGGAAATGAGTAATAACGCATCTAGATGAAGAAGTTACGACTTGGTTGGTGCCTGCACTAGGGACTGAATTAGTGACAAACACAGCTCAACAACGATTCGCAGGCAGTGCCACGGGGAAGGGAGGAAGAGGGGGGATATAGGAGCTGGTGAAATCGATCGAACCAAGTAGATAAGGAAGGGCCTATGTATTTGAGAATTTGAACGTCAGGGAAAACCAGCAAGAAATCTTTTGGCTCATAAATAAGTGAGAAAACGTATGGGTATACTCTTGGCTATCCCAACGATCAAACATTTTCATCACGCCTCTCTCTCTCTCTCTCTCGCGTACTCTCTCTCGTACTCGGTAATAACGCAACGACAATCCACACTGAAAACCAAAAATCAACCGAACCCAAAGCAAAATCAAAATAAACCCGGTGCTCTTTTCGCGTTTTTCGTTCTTTTAGATCCCGAGAGTTGTTTTCTTTTCCACAGAACTCAATGTTCCACCTGCACTGCGGTTGATAATGAGGCGGTTTGTGCGTATTCCGCCGGCACTGTGGAGGTTGAAGCGGGATGTATGTGGCAAGAAGCGAGAGGAAAGGGAGAAGAAGGCGGCAGGTGTAAGAAGCGTGGCCGAATCAATCTAATAGCGGGGGCAATTTGCAAGCCGTGAAGAAAGTATAAAGAAGGCAAGGGTGTGGATAAGCCGGCAAGGAGCAAGGAATATTGCGTGGGGACTCGGAGATACTTGCAATGCTTTGACCATCGTACTGAACGCGTTTTGGATGTTCGCAATCTGGGTTTTGAATGTGCACGTGGAATCATTCGCATTCAGCGCAGAATAATTGGAAGCACGAACGAGGTGATGACTTAAAAAGGAATAGAACTCACCTCAGTTACAAAGCTGCGAATATCAAGCAACGTCCCATTCTCCAAGGCCGAGAATTCAAATTGCGTAAGCCGATCCATAGCCACCGCAAGCTTATGCAGAGGCCTAAACATCATCCACATCAGCGGAGTAAACACAACCACTACCCCCACAGTAACTGCAATAAAAATGATGATCGTGTTTCTATTCGCCGCATCAATCTGGCCAAACACGTCCTCCCTGGGCACAACCGTCGCCAAGATGTACTTGTCCACTTTCGTCAGGTTGAGCGCCATAACGCTGATGATGAACTCTGTTCCGTTAATTTCACGTTCCCAGATTTGGGGGATGTTGACTGGGATGCTGGTGAAGGAGGAGTTGTAGATGGCGTTGAGTTCGGTGCGGACGCCTTCGGAGATGGAATCAAAGGTGCGGTTGGCTCGGTCGATGCGTTGGTTTATGTCACAAGTACCAAGGCAAGTTTGCGTGTTGCGTTTGCCAAGGGAGGTGGCGGTAATCACACCTCTGTCATCGAAGAGGATGATCGCGCGGCTGAGCTCACCCTAATGTGTAATTTGAAAGAAAGTGATAAGTATTCAACAACCACCAATTTTTTTTGGCCTCGCGAGTGTCAAAGGAGTAACATCCATTGAAAAAAACAATAGACCCGGACGTCCAATCCCCCCCTACTCCCGCGCGCTCTCATGATATCCACCTGAATCGAATCCAAAAGGTCCCTGAATCTATTATCAGCAAACATCGTGAAACCGCAAGCTCCATCGGGGAGATCCACCCCTCTCTTGCCATTCACCCAAAAGTTCTTGTAACATACAAGCTCGTTCACACCCAGCTGTGCGTTTGCGTTCCTATAGCACTTGATGCCGTCGTAGCGAGAATTGATGGTTTGCCCAAACCGGTCCGGGGCACTCGTCTCGTTTTTACGCAAAGGGTAGGCGGGGAGGCGCATAACGGGTTTTTGAGGCTCGAGTTCGCCTGTGTATTATTGCATGACAGAAGATAAGAAACGAAAGTTGAGAGAGCAGCACCAGAGGGTGATTGGTTGAGGCAATATCTTACAAGAAAACCTCGGCAACTTCGAACCCTGTCTTCACAAAGGACACGAGAAGTCACCACAAGAACATACCCGTCACATTATTTCTGATGTACTCCACAGCCATAAGCGCCGGACCTGTTTGGAATTCGATGTAGAGGAGGCCGAGGTTACCGTTGAGAAGGTTTCCGACGAGAAGATAGGTTGTGTTTCGGTATGGATTCGTGGGGAGGTCGAGACCGCTGGATTTGAGATGGAAAATAGACCAATGCAGGACGTGAACGGAAAGTGCAACGAGTTTTCGGTCGATCGCACCACCCCTTCGTAATTGTGGTTTCCTTGCCGTCGCCATGCCGTCAATAACCCTTCTGTCGCCATCCAAAATTACCTTAAATTGTATCTTGTGCCGCAAAAATAAACCTGAACCCCCAAATTCTCAATCTCGCTTCGCATAACATCCAGCAGCACCTTTACACAACAGTTCCCAAAAGACGAATAGAGTCCAGCGACGTTAACATCTCAAGCTCAATGGCCAGAAAATGCAAGTTTTTGCATTGAGGGAATGAAAGAAGATTGAATAGGGCTTACGTCGT